TTAATTATTATTTTTAATCATAAAAAGTCTACTTTCTTGAAAGGTCAAAATCAGCGATTTAAAGAAAGTTGACTTTTGAAGAATATTGGCGTGGACGGTACAGAAATGATCCGTCTCGGCTGGCGTCTCGGATGAACATGGCTAGTACGGCCATGACGGCTTGGGTAAGACCTATTTCCTTTTTTATTTTTTTGAAAATAGGTAATGATATAATATGGACGTGGACTTAGTTAGCTTAGACCTTGGCGGAGTTAGGTGGGGCCGGTGGGGCTTATATACCTCAGGCCCTGCTAACTAAATTTTGAAGTCTGGTACTTAATTTTATTTTATTATTTTTATCTTAAATAATTTTATTATCATTGTATTTATTTTTTATTATTAAATATTACTTTTAAGTTATAATAAAAAAAGATGAGGAAAATATAGATAATAAAAAAGAATATAGATTAATTAAATATAAAATTATCCAGTAATGATTTTTCACAAAATGTTTACTAGTAACCTTTTATTTTTCATAACAAATGTCATGTTTTATTAATAATAGTAATTATTCTCATTCCCTCTTTAAATTATAAATATAATATAAATTTATAAACTAAAAAGAATTAAAATTTAATGCTGACTATACTATCAGCTTATGTTTAGAGAAAAAAAAATGTATTGACTAATGAGAACAAAAATAGAAGAAACAATTACGTACAAGAGAAATGCTAATTAATAGAAGGGGAGTGCACGTGCACTCGTACCGACCACCGGTAGTTGAATGCACATCCTTGACCATAATTAACTCCAACAAGACAATAATAAATAATAATATATTTAATAAGCAAATAACAATTGAATCAGCGGTTTAGGAAAGTTTAGGTTGTGATAAACACGTTAGGTTGTGTACCAAAAAAAAAAACATGTTAGGTTGTCTCTTTTTCAACGACAAGTGGAGCGACAAAAAACAACTCTTTTTTGACAAGGTCCCTTAAGTGATGAGTACAAAGCACTAACAAAAATTTTGCATGATAATAGAGAGTAGTATCTATTTAATCC